AGCTAAATTTGGTTTAAAAACACACATGCCATAGAAAGGAATATAGGTAGAGGCTATATAGCTCTGTTTTTGAAACTGGTCATGAGACCCTAGATAGTATTCATGACTTAGTTTATCCAATCCCATTCCATGTTCCCTTGACTTTCAGCCAGAATTCTTAATGGGTGTAGGTTTTTTATCCAGTGGGGTGACTAAAACCTTATTCCTGAGGAATTTAAGCCCCTGTGTTAAGACTATTTAAAATATTCTAACTTGATTTCCCCTTGGTGGATTATCAACCACTACACTCAGTACCTTACCACCCATTTTGACAGTACGCAGGGCTTTAAGGTACTTGAAATGGCCAAATGTGGTCTGGTTTCAGTTTCCAATTCAACAACAGCATTGTTGTATATAACCTTTGTGGAAGCATTTTTTTTTTAAGTGAACTGAATTGTTTGACCAGAAGTAGTAGTATGTGAGAAACGTTAATAATATACAAGGTCACTGTAGTTAATGACTAGTGTCTGTGACAGACCTTGCCAGCCAGAGGTCCAAATGGGTACTGGCACAGAGACAAGTCCTCTCAGGCTAGTAACTCTCTCATCTTGAGAAACAGCATATTCTATCTGGTCTTTTGGAGAATGAACACCTGATCTTGGAACTCCAGGTAACCTTGATCCTGGCTGTCCATTCTAAACAGGATATTATCTAGACCTAATAAATATAAATCAGGGATTCTCAACCTTGGCACTATTGATATTTGGGCCCAAATTACTTTCTATTGTGGGGAGGTGCCCTGAGTATTATAGATGTTTAGCTGCATCTCTGGTTTATCAACTAGTCGCCAGTAGCACTCCACAATTGTGACAATCAAAAATGTCTCTAAATATTTCATTAAATTGTTGTATTTTACCCCTGAGAAGCAAAATTGCCTTCAGATGAGAATCACTGACCTAAGTGAATCCTTTGAGTTCTATCATCCAGAAAAGTGTCCTGAGCCAGTCCTAAAGGCATAAGTAAGTTGTGTGATCACATTCCCAGTATGCTCTTCTGCCATGCTGCCTCTTTTCATTCAATTCACAACTATCACCTCACAAGAACTCCGTATAGATAACTTGATGTTGGAAAAAAATTCAAGCTTGACTTATAGGTGGTTCTGTGTATTATGTTACTACCAGCCACACAGGAGGTGGTGGGGAGCATTAAATCCCCTGTTCACGGTTGGCAGCAAAGGAGAGGACAGTCAGTCCTCCTAGGGACTTGTGCAGTTCATTTTGTCTCCTTGGCTTGAAGGGATATGGTATGAAATAAGATTATGAATATTCATGGAAAGTGAACTTGGGGTTTGGCTGGATTCTTGGGTGCTTGGAAAAGGATTGGTGCCAACTTAAGAAAGGTTGGAAGGGGTATATAGGTGGATTTCTTAAAATGGACCCAGAATGTGAGCAAGTTTCTGAGCTATGTTAACGCTCACAGCAAAGCCCTCACTGTGAGAGAGGCCCTGAATAATTAGGTAACAAGATAACCTTTTCTGTAAATGTTAATATCTTGTCAAGCCAGTGCTAAATGGGAGTATTAACAAAGTGCCAAGATAGCAAGGATGGTGTACAAACAGAACTGCACTTTCAGAGGCTTTTCTGGCAACTGCCTCCTCCTCTCCCTCACCTTCTCTACTTTCCCCACTTCGCTTTTGCCTAGAGCACTTCTACTGGTAACATATCTTGGGAGTCAGCCAGCTCCCTGGTAACCAACTCATTTCATTAGAAGAGGTAATGTTTTAGTTTTGTCCTCATTGATACACAATACGGGTTTTTTTTGCTTTTTTTGCCCTTGACATTTCTGGCAGCACCACCATTTATGGATTTACTAAATAATTATACATTATCATGAATTCCCACACATTGTTCTGGCCAAGGAACTTATTACACAGGAGACATAAGATAAAGTGCTTGAAGACTTAGTTATGAAGCCAGCTAAAAGACAACACTCCCAATGCAGTGTTTATATTCAACAACTGATTTTTAATGCTACTTCTCCCATTCCTGTATTAGCTCCAAGAACTAAGAAGCTTCTATTTCACCCAATTATCCTCTAATAAAACATCTGCTTTTTGTTCCTCTGACTCCATACTCTACTGTTTTTATAGATTTTAGTACTTAGGAGTTAGTTGAAAGAAATTAGTTGAAAGTAACTGGAAGTTCACACAGCCACATGGTAATTTTGGATTCTTTATGCCACCAGGTAATCTTGCAAAAAAAAAAAAAAAAAAAAAAAAAAAAAAAAAAAAAAAAAAAAAAAAAGAGGGTTGCCATGTTAGTTGGGGTTTTAACCTTATGATACAGTTGCTTCACAAATAAGAGCAGGGAAGAGTATGGAAGGAAAACTGAAGATTCTCTGAGGGGTATTCTTACGTTGTCAAATATAGTGATAAAAGAAAGAGCTTAGACCTGTCTAAATTTGGTCAGTCTCTCAGGGAAGAAACATAGTTGGTCAAGGCAGTAGCCAAAACAAAAATAAAAGAATAGATGCAGAAGAAGTAAAGTCTAAGGCAGTTAAATAAGACAATAACTTCCACCTGTATTTCCTTGCTGTTATATGTAACATGTATTTGAACAAATTTCCCATCTCTTTCTGTTGTCTGTGTTAGTACTAAAATGACTGTTTAATTAGCATGATTTGCATAACATCAATGAGAATGTAGCAAAACTTGAAAAATGAACATAATCCAAAGGCCTTGGCCATGAATACAGTAAACAATAGCTGCACTGTTGGGTATGAGTATTTTTGGAAATTGAAGTATAAAAGGAATGGAATGTGTGTGGAAACTGAATAGCCAAGAGTGAACTGTAGTGAACATTTGTCTTTTTTGATGATTACACATTCAGCCATCCCAGAAGAGTTCCAGATGTTACCTTCAATTACAGAAGCCAAAAGAATAGGCACATGACCCAATCTTGGCCAACTGGGCACTCTCTCCAAGGACTCTGAACCCTGAGCTAATCTTGCAAGGAATAAGAAAAATGACAGGAAGGATTCATTATATCATCCTGACCAGGCTGCTCCCACTCTCAAGCAGACTCTTTGCTTCCTCTTCCTGTACTTTCCACCACTAGTATGTCCTGGTTCCTGCCCACCAGTTCTGAGAGCCACTGGATATCCTTCCAATAAACTCCCTTTTTCTCAAGGTAGTCAGATGGTTTCTGCTGTTAGCAATATAAGGTCCTGATACAATCAGGAACATGAACAGAAATGGGAAAATGAATACAGAAAACCTCTTAAAATGTTTTTACTAGAAACCTATCTTTTAAAGAACCTACTTTTGATACTGGATATTTTTATGGGCTGCAGGTTTGTCCCCTCCCTAAATTCATTTGTTGAAACTCTAATCCTCCAAAAAACAGCATTTCTAAATTACCTGCCTATGGGAGGTAAGTAATTAGGTCATTAGGGTGGAGGCCCCATGATGAAATTCGTGTAAGAGGAAGACAGCTAGCCCTCTCTCTACCATGTGAGGATACAATGAGAAGACATCCTCTATAAACCAGGAAGAGGGTTTTTCATTGAAATCCAACCTTGCTGGCATGCTTGTTGTGATCACAGAGGCCAAGAGAGATGAAAAACTAGGACTGTCCCAGCTTTGGTTATGTACCTATCCTTAGCCAATCACTCTGCTATGGAAGAAGGATGATTTATATTTGGACCTTATGATGGACTGGAGACAGGAACTTCCCAAGAAAAAGAAGTGCTAGGCCAGCAGAAATAGCGCTCCAAAAGAAATATCTTATAGATATATATCTATATGTATTTATATTATATATAAATGTAGTATCTTAAAGATACCTACATATAGAAGATGTGCTGTAATATTTTTCCTAGTCATATGACACAAAGATCTGGAAGGACTATCCAAATTTGAGGGAGAGGGCTTTGAAGGGTGGAGAAAAGAAAAACTAATTTTGTTACAACTTAGGAAGAACTGGGAGGGTATGAGGAGGAAGGCAGGGAGTGAAAAGAAATTCATTTCAACAACCACTTTAGAAGGAATACTTTAAGCCATGGGATTTGTATATGTATGTAAGTGTACACACACACACACACACACACACACACACCTCCCCCCATATTAATGTAAACACTTCAGATAAATTGAGACACAATTTGTTATTTCCAATGAAACGTTTTTGAGTAGTAAAAAAGTGTTAAGACTTTTAGAAATATCAAATCATTTACTCAGTAACAACACTTAGCAGATAACAGGAACATACTGCACATATTCATTTCCCATTTAGCCTGAATAAAGTAGTTTTGCTACACAATGCTTTCCTAAGATAAGTTGTTCCATGGCCAGAGAAAATAGCATTTTAAATGGTCTATCTTTCTAAAAATTGAAGCGACTTTCTAAACAGGTATTTAGAAAGGAAGTGGGAACAATTAAGCTTAATTGCTATGAAAACAAAAACTAACACCACAATTATAGAACATTTAAATAGGAAAATTATGAAACTATATATAAAAAACTTATACATATATACATTGTATCAAAATACCTTCTTTCTATTTTGGTAACTAGAATTTTGAGATTAAAAACAAAGTAGTTCAAGCATTTCTAAATATAAAAATTTCAGATTTATATTTATTAAAAACAAAATAATATCAGTTCTGTTGGAGTAACCATATATACACCAAGACAAATATCGCAACTGGAAACAGAAATAGTGAACAATTCAAATTTCTTAATATTTTAATGGCTTAAGTAACTTACTTTTTTTTCAGTCCTTTTTTGCTAAAATAGGTTTATTTAATTTTAAACTCAGATCAGTGCAGTTTGTCTTTTTTGGTGGGTTTTTTTTGGTTTTTTTTTTTTTGTTTGTTTTGCTTTTTTTAAAAGACAAAATACTCATTTAAAATTGTAGGTATTAGGTTTGCACCAACTAAAAAATAACATTTACATTTGTCTAATGTAACAATCTTAAAAACATACAAATTCAGTATGTAGTAGAAAATATGTAAAAAAAAAAACCCAAAAACCGCATAAGGAACTATACCCCATTAAAAAATATAAATGCACCCTTCTACTGATTATATGACTACTGAAAACTAAATATTCTGATTTAAAAGTAGCTTCTATAAAATGTCAAAGTAGTAGGCATTGTTTGCTTTCCTCATTTAATGAATAAATAAGAAGTATTTCCATTTCAGTTAAACAGTACTACTAGTACTTCTTAGCAAAAATGTAGTATTATAGATAGCATTGCCCTGTATTCAAGTTTTTATGTTTGATCTCCATTAAAATGTTTTCTATAATTTATAAGGACAACACATACAAAAGTAAAAAGATGAGGTAAACATCTTACACTTTTAAGAAATTACTTGAAACTTAATACTCAGATATTCTCAATGCCTAAGCTCTAGAATGATGGTTATGAAGGTCCTCCTTTAAAAAACAACAACAAAAGATGGTCCTCCATAATGTCGATGATATGATACATATCTGAACCACATAACGAACAGCAGGTTTCTTGGTCTTCTGAGTAGGCAAATGATGTTCTTCCCTGTGATTACAAAGCAATCATGACTAGGTTTTGCCAAAAATATTGCTTCGGTGTAGGTTTACATGAGGCACCATGCTACAGTAAAAGCAGCTACAATGCCATTCAAAATTGCCATGCTATAGCCCATGTGGAAAGAGTGTCCAGTCAGTTTCCTAGGGGGGAAAAAAACGAAAAAAGGAAAATGTAATTTGGAATAACAGAAACACCATCAGTTTTCACTGAAAATGCTTACAACGTAAAAATGTTTCCCTAATATTTTATACATTAATACACGTTAAAAAATAATATTAGACATTTGTAGGATTAATAAATAGAGTGACCTTAAGTTCTCTGCCAAAACTGTCCTATTTATCAAATACAGTTTTTCAGTGTCATTACTTAGAGCAAAATGTTTTTAATCCCTTATACTTCTTTACTGTGCCTCATAGTCACTGAGTGTATCATAACCTAATTCTAGGTTTAAATCTTGTTACATTACAAACATGCTCTTTCATTAATTAGCACTGTTTCCTTGTTCTCTTGTTTAGAACTAAAAATACATATTATTTCAGGTATCTGTCCTGTTTGTTCCATCTTTGGATTACGTGAAGAAACTCTACTCTTTATAAGCACTAAAAACAGCACTTTCCATATGTGAGTCATGAATCAGATTATGTCTTTTATAGACATTTCAGTTCTCAATAGGTTACTTAATTGAAGTGGCCTTCAATGAGTTCCTAAGTATCAGTAAAGGCACGTCTCATGTTTTACGACTACTCAGTGCCAGCTTGCTTATGTGCACAGATTTCCCCTGACATTTGATTCCTCTATTTTACAGTAATTTTACATTTTCTTTAAGATTTCTTCCATTAACTATTGCAATAATACTCTTTGCTTATCCTCATAAAGATGAGACATGATAAAAAGAATAGAAGCTAATGTCCAATTAGTGTCAGAGGCAGAAGATCTTTTCCTCAGTGGAGCAATCCAAATCGAGGACATATAGGGAGGTGCACTAGCAGGAATAAGAGCCCAAAATCATTAGTAGTAGGAGCTCTGGACTGAGGGTCACCATGTCTATTTCCTCACCTCCTTTCCTAAGAACAGGTCAAAGACAGAGAGGTACTTGGATCTGAAGTAACATTTGAAGGATTCTAGTCTTACAAGATCTGTGGTAGGGAGCAAAGAAGATACGCTCTTCAAAGAACATCACCTTTGCATTCATCTAAGACTACTGAAGGCCCTGATACTTCCTGATAGCTGTTGTTATTATCATTACACTTTCCACTCAACTTACTCACCTTGGAACTAGTTTAAGATACTTCTCATGGACATTAAGGGTTAATCTACTCAGCTGCACTAACCTACTACATGGTAAAATGAAATAGATATTTTAGATGCTTTACTTCTAAAAATTATTCCTTCAAATACATACTGATTAGTGAACAGAAAGCTAATCATAAAATTAAACTATCAGCATTGTCATTCATTATTTAAAGAATATTAATGACCCATGAACATTTAAATTCATACTAACAAAATGAAGTTAATCATGGAACAGAATTTCAGGAGTTAATTGTTCTCTTTCACTAGTTTTTGACCCTGCACTCCCATAAAAATAGGAAAACCTCTGAAGTAGTTTACCAAACTTTAGGAAATTATAAAAACTTACAATGTTGGTATAAATGAATTTTACTGAGCTATACATGCTCGAATGTTCAGTGACCTTTACAGAACAGGCAAAGCAAGGAATTTTAATGGCAATGAAGAAATGCTCCAGAGCAGATTCTCAGTCTTTCTACCATCTCAAACGCACCATATCCCTCCCCACTAGAAACACAGTAGCAATTGTCACGCATGTACTGCTAGGCAATAGACTTAAAATCTTTGAGTAATCACTTGCTTTAAAACTCCTTTTCAAATTACTCACCATGATTTTCTTCTCTCCGGAAAGAAAGACAACCCCTGCCCGCAGGTTTCCTCTCCTATGACTTACTTGTGAAGTCCTGTAAAAAACTGACGGTATCTTGGTTGCCCTTTGTCAACATCCTTCATCTCTTGTAAAGGGCAAGTTTTGAATTGAAAAATTGGGCCTAAGTATGGTGCTTATTTTATTCAATCTCTCTCTATATATGCATGTTACTTTTAAAATTAAAGTATACACACACACAGTGAAGTGCAAATGCCTGACATGCATACAGATCAATGAATCTTTATCAGGTTACACCTTCATGTACCAACCACCCAGATCAAATACAAAACGTTTCCAGTACCACAGAAAGCTTCTTTGTTCCTCTTCCTTCCCCCAAATCCTGAGATAACCGCTATAACCATTTGTTACCACGATGCCTGGTTTCACCTGTTCATCTTACATGCCCTCAAATAGTATGTCTTCTTCTGTGTCTGGATTCTTTCCCTCAATATTGTGTCTGTGAGATTCATCCATGTTGTTTTATGTAGCATTAGCATGTGCTCTTTTGTACTGCAGTTTAGTACCCCGCTGTATAAAAATAACAAAATGTATCCGTTCTACTACAGAACATTTGGATTGTTTCCAATATGAGGCTTCTATACATATGGATACTATGAACATGATGGTACACATCTCTGGTGGGTGTGAGACATCTGCACTCATTTCTCATGGGTATATATCCTAGGAATGGAATTGCTAGGTTATAAGGGAGATGTAAATTTGGCTTTAGTAAAAACATCAAACATTTTCTCAAAGTAGATGACTACTGTACACGTCTACCAGCAATATCTGAGAGTTTCAGTAGCTCCACGCTGCCACCAACATTTAGCATCATCAGTGTTTTACACGTTAGTGGGTCTACAGATTATGTTGTTGAGGTTTGAATATTTATTTTTCTGATGACAAACATACTTACTGCTCATTCAAATATCCTCTTTTTTGAAGTTCCTGTTTATCTTTTTGCTCATTTTTCTATTGGTTTATAGAGTCCTTTGTCAACAGTATGTGTCATAAATATCTTCTCCTGTTTATGGCTTGTCCTTTCACTCTTTAATAAGATCCACTGATGAACAAGTTCTTAATTTAAATACAGTCCTTTTTTTTTTTTAAATGACTAGTATTTTTTGTGGCCTTTTCGATAAATCTTTGACTACGGTTATGAAAATAATCCATTTTTTAGGGAAGTTGTATTGTTCTCCTTTGACATTTTGGTCTATAATTCAACTCAAATTAATTTTTTATGTGGTATAAGGTAGTGGCGAATGCTCATGTTATACCTTTTGGAAGTCCAATTGTTTCAGCACAATTTATTGAAAAGACCATCTTTTCCCCCCTCATTAAATTCCCATGTTACCTTTGTCCTAAGTCACATAAGCATCTATGTGTGGGTGTTTTTAAGCTTTCTATTCTATTCTTTGGGTCTGTTTGTTTATCCCTGATGAAATCAACAACTTTCCTATATAGCAGGATTAGTGAACTAAAAAAAAAAATATGCTATACACCTAAAACTAATATAACACTGTATGTTAAACTAACTGGAATTAAAATAAAAACTTACAAAGCCAAAAAAATATTTAATGCTAAAATATCCTTATATTGAAGACTACAAAAACTCAGAAGCACAACTAACAATAATGTGTAAGACTCATATGAAGATAAAAATAAAACTTTACTTAAGAAGATCTAAATAAATAAAAGACATCCCGTGTTCATGGAATTGAAAACAACATTTTGAAAATGGCAATAGTCCCTAAATTGATCTATAAGGTCAATGCAATTCCTCAATTTTCCTTTCCAACTGCCTTTTTCTGCAGATATGGAACAAGTTGATCCCAAAATTTGTATGGCAATAAGAGACCCCAAATTGTCAAAACAATACTGAAAAAGAACAATGCTGGAGAACTCACACTTCCCAATTTCAAAACTTGTTACAGTAATCAAATGGCATGATACTGGCATAAGGATAAACATATAGACAAATGGAATAGAATTAACAGTCCAGAAATAAACCATAGATCTATAGACAGTTAAATTTCAACAAGGGTATCAAGACCACTTAAGAGGGAAAGAATAGTCTTTTCAACAAATGGTGCTGGGACAAATGGATGCAAAAGAATGAATTTGATCCTTTAACTCATACATTATACAAAAATTACCTCAAAATGGACCAGATCTACATGAAATAATTAAAACTCTTAAGAGGAAGAAAGGTATAAATTTTTTCAACCTTGAATTATGCAATGATTACTTAGATAAGAAACTCAAAAAAAATTAACTGAACTTCATCATATTAAAACCTTCTCTGCTTCAAAGGACACTATCAAGAAAGTGAAAAGACAATCCAAGGAAAAGAAGAAAATATTTGCAAATCATGTTTTGTTTTTTGAGAGAAAGAGAGCAAGCAAGCAGGGGAGGGGCTGAAGGGAGGGAGAGGGAAAGGGAGAGGGAATCTCAGGCAGGTTCCATGCCCAGCGTGGAGCCCAATGTGGGGCTCAATCTCATGACCATGAGATCGTGACCTGAGCCAAAATCAAGAGTCGGATGCCTAACCAACTAATCCACCCAGGTGCCCCTTGCAAATCATATACCTACTAAGGATCTACTATCTAAGATATAAATAAATTCTTAGGACTCAAAAAAAAAGGGCAAATACTCCAATTTTAAAAAGGGCAAAGCATTTGAATAGACAGTTCTGCAAAGAAGATATACATTGGCCAACAAGCACATGAAAGGATGCTAGACATCATTACTCACTATAGAAATGCAAATCAAAACCACAATGAGTGAATACTTCATACCCACAAAGATGGTTATAACACAAAAAAAGAAAAGAAAGAAAACAACAAGTATTGGTGAGGATGGAGAAGTCAGAAATTTGACTCATTGCTGGTACAAACATAAAATGATATAGCTACTATACAAGAGTTTGATAGTTCTTCAAAGAGTTGAGTTACTATATGATCCAGCAATTCCATTCCAGGTGTATACTCAAGAACTGAAAACATGTTTTTACACAAAAACCTGCACCTGAAAGTTCACAGAAGCATTATTCATAAGAGCTAAAAAGTAGAAGCTAAGCAAATGTCCATCAACTGATAAACAAAATGTGGCATATTCATACAATGGAATATAATACAGCCATAAAAAGGAAAGTACTGATACATGCTATAGCATGGATGAACTTTAAAACCAGTATGCTAA